AGTGAGCGAGCGAGTCTCCCCCTTCGCAGTAGAAATGGTCGACTAGCTGCATCATGAATCGCACCCAGGTCCACTTCTCGTGCCTTCCTCCCGATCACGCCCTTTATATAAGACATCACATGATCACCTATTCTTGCATGTGATTCCTCCTCTCATAGCTCTCTTGTCTAGCAATATATCCACCCTTTGCTTCCTTCCCATAATTTGATCACATCTTCTTCTTCTTCTTCTTCTTCTTCTTCTTCTTCTTCTTCTTCTTCTTCTTCTTCTTCTTTGAAATTATGATGCCTCCTGAGCAAGAAAATACTAATATCAGTACCACTGGTAAGATTGGACCGTCCAACGTCATGCTTACAAACTGGACCGAGACAGTCACAGTTCATGCTGAACCTTCCGTTTCTTCATCTATTAATAACAAAAGCTCATGTTCACAAGATCATGTATTGCAAGGACGTCAACAAGAACCGGCCCTATCAAGATTCACGATTTTACGTGCTTCTTTACGTCCTGTAACACTTGAGGTACTTTTTCTATAAATAATCTGCTAAGCGTATTTTCCTTTCTTTAAATTCCTAGCTAATTATATTAAATTGGCTTTGCAGTTTGCAGATGTCGCATACAGTGTTAGTTTGTCCACGAAAGGAACTTGGTTCGCTTCAAGCGAACCAAAATCTACAAGAACAGTACTTAATGGTGTTAGTGGTATCGTTCGACCCGGCGAACTGCTAGCAATGCTTGGTCCATCAGGAAGTGGCAAAACAACACTTTTAACAGCTCTAGCCGGTAGATTACCCGGAAAGGTTTCTGGTACTATAGCATACAATGGCCAGGCTTTTTCTAGCTCCATGAAGCGCAGAACAGGTTTTGTCACTCAGGATGATGTGCTGTATCCCCATCTTACAGTTTTAGAGACCTTAACCTATGCTGCTTTATTAAGGCTACCAAAAAAGCTCACTAGAGAAGAGAAAATAGAGCAGGCTGAGTTGATTATAATGGAGCTTGGACTAACTAGGTGTAGAAATAGTGTAGTGGGTGGACCTTTGTTTCGGGGCATATCGGGTGGTGAACGTAAACGGGTCAGTATCGGGCTAGAAATGTTGGTTAACCCGAGTTTGTTGTTGCTTGATGAACCCACTTCAGGGCTTGATTCTACCACAGCTCAGCGTATTGTGGCCAGTTTAAGGGGACTAGCAAGAGGTGGTAGGACTGTGGTAACTACTATTCATCAACCTTCAAGCAGGTTGTACAGGATGTTTGATAAGGTGGTGGTTTTGTCGGAAGGGTGTCCGATTTATAGCGGGCAAGCCGGTCGGGTCATGGAATATTTTAAATCATTAGGATACAATCCCGGGTTCAATTTCATGAATCCTGCTGATTTTCTGCTTGATCTTGCTAATGGTAAGTTAAAATAATATTCCCCATGTATATATATAGAGTAATTGACACGAACTTATAAGTGTAAGTATATTCTCACACATAAAAATGTAATTGCGTGTTGTTGCTAAATTTGTTATCTTTTATCCTTTTTTTTTCTGGATAAAAATGATTTCTGTACAGTTTTTAGCAGGCAAAAATAAAGTGATCATGTAGAACATGGGAGGTGACAGGTACTGAGGACTAAATTTAGTTGTAGATATGGTTGGTTAATGCGAGCTATCTGTGATGGTGTTTTGTTTTTGATTTCCGGCTCTCAAGTCTCAACATAAGCCATCAAGTTCAAGATTTAGGAGTGTCAACGTCACAACTTGCAGAGCAGCTAACTAGTAAAACTTTCGGGGGTTTTTTTTTTTCCCTTACAAATGTAGAGTAAGAAATGGGTCCTTCTCTATATTTGTGGTTCCTGCCAAAAAATGTATTTTCATCATGCATTTGACAAAGATGGTTGAACCATCGCCATATTTGTCTTGCCTCTCTGAAATATTAGTCTTTCCATTTCTGCTAAAAAGATTAGTATAAAAGAAAAATCATTTTGTAAAATTTTAGAACAATGGGTTGCTTTGGTGAGGTATCAAGTCAAAAGAAGTCTTCTAAGTCTAATGGTGCTTTCAGATATTCTGTTATTCAATCTTTTCTTTTCTTTGATGGTGATTTTTTTTTTTATAATTTTAAACTTTTTATTATTTATTTATTTCCCCCCACTCTTCATATTTAGGTCTATCATGACGAATAATTGCGTCACTCATTGGGTTTTTTTTTTTTACCTTTGATCATAGGCAAAATGACTTGTACTGATCCAAATTTCAAATAGCATGACTAAATATGTTTTTATATGATATCCTTTTCTCATTCTACTTTATTTTCTTCTGACCCTGAAGATTTCTTGGATATGCAGGTTTAGTTCCTGATACCAGATCAGAAGATGACCAGCTGGAGTTTCATGGAAGATTGGACCACCATGATGATCAAAATTCAGCAAAACAGTCTTTGATATCGTCTTATAAGAACAACTTGTATCCTCTGTTGATATCTGAAATTCATCGAAATGCTCAAGACCCGGTTCTTCCTTCATCATCACTGAGAGGTAAGTAAAAACCTTCTTCACCATGCTAGATTGATTCAATTATTTGCTGCTTTAAGTGACTATAACGAACAAACGCCACTTGTAGTGATCATTGGTTTGTGTTTTATCAGGTTCTGAGGTTCAATGGACCACCAGCTGCTGGCAACAGTTCAAGGTATTGCTGAGAAGGGGCTTGCAAGAAAGGAAGCACGAGTCTTACTCAGGCTTAAGGATTTTCCAAGTTATTTCAGTTTCGATTCTTTCTGGCCTTTTATGGTGGCACTCTGATACTTCACACATACAAGATCAGGTATTGTTGCCCTGCAGTCTGCACTCTGACTTTCGAGCTCTCTGTAAATTAGCAGCTTCATTGATCTGATTGATAATTATGGTGGCCACTGGATTGGATTGAAATAACCAATTATAGCAGGTTCCTGAGAAAACGTTGAAGTTGTCTTGGGTGCCCTGCTTGAGTGTTTTAAAATCTGGTTTCTAATTGCAATTAGAACTCGCGTTTCTTTCTCTGCCCAACTTTCTTATTTATGACAAAATTGCTATAACAGGTGGGACTTCTCTTCTTTTTCTCCATCTTCTGGGGCTTTTTCCCTCTGTCCAATGCCATATTCGCATTCCCTCAGGAGCGACCGATGCTAATAAAAGAACGTTCCTCGGGCATGTACAGGCTCTCCTCCTATTATTTTGCAAGAATGGCCGGTGACTTACCAATGGAGCTTGTTATGCCAACTATTTTTGTAACTGTCGCCTATTGGATGGGTGGTCTTAAGCCTTCCCTAATCACTTTCGTACTGACCCTCTTGATTATCCTTTTCAATGTGCTAGTTTCACAAGGGCTAGGGCTAGCCCTCGGAGCCATTTTAATTGATGTAAAACAGGCCACTACTTTAGCTTCTGTGATAATGCTTGTATTTTTACTTGCTGGTGGATACTACATTCAACACATTCCTCCATTCATAGCTTGGTTGAAGTATGTCTCTTTTAGTCACTACTGTTACAAGCTGCTGGTGGGGGTACAGTACTCAGCAACTGAAGTTTATGACTGCGGTTTACAGATGCATTGCAGGGTAATGGATTTTCCCGATATCAAGTATCTAGGACTTGATAATATGTGGTGGGATGCAGCTGCTTTGACAATAATGTTGGTGGGATACAGGCTTTTGGCTTATGTGGCTCTAAGAATGGGGCAACCTCTCTGACCATATGATAAGTAATTAAAGTGCATTGACTACAATAAAGTATTTGTTTGTAGTATAGGTATTGAGAAAATTGCTTTTCAATTTGATCGCATGATCTTGAATTCTGAAAGAAACTGTGATCAAATATCTTGAAGATTAGCCCGTGTAAGAGTAAATTGGATTCAGATTATCTGATAGGTTGTAACATGTGCTATCCAATTAAATCAACCTGTGACCAGACAGGAGACTGATTATGATTTATAAAAGAACTCTGTTCTGTAATTGTTTATAGATCAGTTCAAATACGTTGACGAAGACTTTTTCCTGTTATAACAAGAGAGCAAGCAAATCAATTATATGCATGCCAAAGAGAGAGAAGTTCTGCATTCTTTAGAAGGATGAGTTAAGCGTTTGTTTTCAGTTTCCTAAACCTACAATACAGAATCTTAAAAAGAAACCAAGATGTTATAGGATATGAGACTTGGAAATTCTCCAAGACCAATTTAGAAAAGAAGGCCAGGCAATCAAGCTGTTTTTTTTTTTCATTTTGGAAGTGCTTCAATAGTTATTCTGACAGAACTAAATAATAAATCCTCTGAGAGGGAAAAATTATACTGGATGATTTTACTAGCTTGACAATAGTATATAAATTCCTGGCTCCGTCCTTCACTTTATCTACTGCCATTTATGCAGAGTTTTGCAATGTGCAGTTTCTCTTATTTTGAATACTTCATCACTTCAATGTGAACAGTAGTATAGTCTTTGGCATCAATTCCATGACATTCTTCAAACCACTGACAAGAACAGAAACGAATATCTGCAAATTGCGGATGCTATTTTGTATATAAAAGCTGTTGTTTTATCATAATACGCAATTCAATGCATCTGATCCTCGATCTTGTCATTATAGTAAATCCTTCCGAATTAATTGCAATGGGTGACATTATTAATTATAACTACAGGGGGTGGCATTTTCTGACTATATATTAATCAATGTAACTAAAAAAACAGGTTGATTTGTAGCTCCACGACAACAGGATATCTGCCAAATGTGGGGTCCAAATATAAAATATGCACTTGCATTCATTCAGGCTTATGCCCTCAAAATATCCGCCTCTATATTAGAATAAGCATCCAATAATGTTATTAAAATATGCCTAAGCATCTGATGCAGTATCCCTCAAAAGGCCTCCAGTTCAAGCTATTCTATTCCATGAAAAAACACACCTATCTATCCATTCATTTGATGTAATCACTTATTCGAATTCCATGTCACAATTAAGTAACCTGGCTATAAATAGGACTAAATGAAGGACCCTTACTACTCAGGTAGAAATTGTTTGTGCAAGCTCTTTGACAGGGTACCAAAGAAGAATGTCATCACTCAAAGAAATGAAACCTGTTGGCACTCAGCCAACCGAGCTTGTCCAGCCAACCGAGCCTGTCAAGAAAGAGCCAGCAGCTAAATCCAGCAGAAGCGCACCCAGAGTTCTGTCCAGGAAACCATTGACTAGGAAGGCCGAGCTCCGGGCGGCTGAAAAGAAGGTATGTGCATGTTAGGTAATGTAGCTAGAAGTACGGTCGGGTTAAGAAAACATCAATTTATTATGCATTTGTATTTCCAACAAAACCTTAATGCATTATAAGGATGCCTTAAACATATTATACCTGATGTTCTAAATATATCCATCATAAAATTATAATCGCTGATGTCGTCCAATTGAGGTTTTTTGATGGTTCATTACAGGCATCGGGGTCAAGTAAGCCAGCAGCTAAATGAGGATAAAAAGAAGTGGGGCGACATGTGAAGTGTCCATGAAATAGTTATACGTATATTCATGGTGATCTTAATTATTTATATCTCTGATCCATGTGCCTCTCTCAGCCTGTTCGCCTAATAAATAAAATACATACTAATTAGAAGAGTTGTTTACCGTTGGTGGGTTTTTCTTGCTGTGGCCTGGCATTTTCTCATATTATTGCGAAAGGTTTTTTAAAAATCAAGAAGGAATATTTTCCTTGAATTAAGGGCATAATATTTGTTCGGATATTATATATGTGTTAGACAGCATTAGGTCTACAAAGGATTAGTATACAAGAGAACTCGAGTAGTCCATTGATGAAAACTGAATTGTGCATATGGAATTGGAAAAAACTGGTCAGGTGCCCTCTTGAATAGCTTTTTGATAAATGTAAAAATGAAATTGCTAGAGAAGAAAACATAGTTCATAATATTCTCGACTCCACCAAGACAAACTATTTTGTCGGACAGAAAAAAACTTGGTAGATCTAGCTAGGTTGTAATGGAATTCGTTGGAAAGATGGAGAATTCAAGATTCGAAATTGCTGGTTTTATAAACCTAGATTCTTTCATAATTAATTGAACAAGGCAACCATGAAGCACGAGTAATCACTACTTTTACATCTCTTAATATTTGCATCTCATGCCATACCTGATACATTTCAATAATACACGTATTAGGTACTTCTCAAAGCAATTTCAATTTTTTTTAAAAAAAATTATTTAATATGAAATTCAACCTCTCTCTCTCTCTCTATATATATATATATATTGAAAGGAGAGCTTGAAGCTCTAGGGAGCGATTGCATTGCACACATTCTAGGAAAACTGATTCCATACATTTCTTCTGATACAATATATAGAAAAACAACCAGGAGGGACGCTTAGTGCTAGATGGATCCTTAGTGCCAACGAGAAAGCATGGGTAAACCGGCTAATCTGCACAACGATTTGCCTCTCTATAAACAGGAGTAACTCTAGCTTGCCAAGGTCTTTGCAACAGTATCTGAATAGAACTGATCACTAGATGAGCAATACCAGGATCACCATTTGAGTTACTCTGAATTAATTGAATTGCAGCTTTAGAATCCGATTCCAATTCTATTCTTCTGAAACCCACATCCCAAGCAGCGTGTAAGCCTATATATATTGCCGCAGTAGTCTCACCATTCCAAATCACTTGCATGGAAGCACTTGGAATACACTTCATGATTAAAGAACTAGGATTTCCAGATAACCACAAATCATGGCGAAGAGTACCCATGATGAATTTGTTTTCCAAGTAGCTTTCACTTTAGCGATAAATCACAGTGAATAATATCTTCAGTTTTTAAAATAACTGAGTTTTATACTATGAGATTGAACTCAAAACATATATATTGTACATCAGTTTCTATGTGTTTTTTTAAGCTAAGGTTGATAAATATTCTTGATATGTTTATCTTGAGTTACCAAAAAATCCGTGTTTGTTTTTTTACTGTTGGTGAGAAAGCCAAAAATATTTATTCAGACTCTTCATACACATTTTATATTATACATAAATTTTAATTATAATTTTTATCAAACACATATTTAAATCAAATTAACCATAACTAAATATATTTTTTAAACATTTATTTTTTTAAACCACAACTATAAAAAAAAAACCTCAAAAACAAACTCACTTAAGTCATTATATATATGCCTTTTCCAAATCAATCTTAATAGCTATCGGCCTTTTTTGTTTTTTCACCTTTCTTTCACCTCGTATAATGAAGGACCTCCTGGGCTATAATTATATTAGTACTGGTGATTTGGCGCCATGAAACAAAGCTGTTCTGAGTTGAAGCAACTAGCATAGATAGGTGAGATTTAAGACGGTTCGCAATATGCTTCGTGATAAGTTTATAAAAAAACATTGCACGGACCAATCGGTCAAAAAATGAGCCGTTCTTTCTGGCTTCTCCATCTTTGGAATAAGAGAGAGAAGGGTGTGATTTATCCCAGCATGCCAACTTCTTTCATTGAAAATTTATTCGATAAAAATTACATAAAAAATCTCCCACAGGATTGGCTTTGGTAGAAAAGTGTTCGAACTATCCACATCGGTTGCGGAGCCAGCTGTCGAAGAGTTTATGAGGGTGTTTGACACTGTATTTGAAAAGCATTTTCAAAAAAATTTGAAATTTTTTATTTTATTTTAAATTAATATATTTTTGATATTTTTAAATCATTTTGATATATTAATTTTAAAAATAATTTTTAAAAAATAAAAAAATATTATTAACATACTTTTCTAAATAAAAAAACACTTTAAAAAGTAACAACAACCATACTCTCAAACACACTCTATAATTGCGAGTCACCTCACAAGCTAATTTTCTAGAGAAATATCCCAAGACCACCTAAATCAGAGCTCATGTATGCCAGCAAGTCTGGACTCTGGACCCGACAATCAGAGTAAAAAAATTGGTGGTTGTGGCTTCAACCTAAAGCCTGATGTGTAAGGGGGGAGATTGCTGCACATCAATTGTGGAAGATGCTGGCGAGGGAATTCATAAGAAGCTAGCTTTTGACGACGAAATATGCCCAAGACCACCAAACAAAAAGAGCATGCAAGCTAACCTGAACCCATATAAGTAAAGGAGCATCTTTGATCTCTATATCACTAACAGGCATACATAAAGAATTATAAGCACGGCTAGAAAGCATAGAAAAAGCACCTGAGATCGGAAATCCCTCCCTAAGAAAATCTCTAGCCATATTCTTCAAAGTTTTGGCATCATAGCACCAGTTGCCCTTATTATCACGCAAGCAATCCACTCTATTTCTCCTCCGCTTGGAAATGGTAGTGGCATGAAAATAGGTTACGGTCTCCAAAATTAATCCATTTTGCTTCTCGACTTCCGATACCACTGAACTCCTCTTGAAAGAGGATTTGTTCTAGCTCCAAACGTAACTTTGTCCGGATTAAGAAGAAATTTCCAAGAGTTTTTTTTTTTTTTGAATGCCTTGTATTTGTTGAGAATATTGGAATCCTAAACCTATGTTTAGAATCCCTATATTTAGTGCCATGTATCCTGAGAAATAAAATTATACTTCTGAGACCTTGATGATTACCAGTTTTGTCACTTCTGAGTTGCTCAGAGTAAGCTATGTGATTAATCATACGACCACTCCCATCGCGCTTATGAGACGGATGGGCTTCATTTGTGGTCTTAAAGGTGCAAAATTGGTATCATGACATTAAGTTTGCAGACACAAACTTGCTCTTGCAGATTTGTCTGGCTTGGTATCTTTTGTTGGCTTATGAGATGGATGGGCTTCGGTTGTGGTCTTAATGGGCCTGACTAGGATAAGATGGGTTAGTATTTTTGGGAAAAAAGGAGGAATATTAGAGATCGAACATCAAAATGAGATCCTCTCCTTAACTTGTTGGGCCTTAATAGGATATGATTGACACCTTGCTTTCTTAAATCCCCGCATGAATCATGCTAGGTGGCAGTATTTGAAAATGCCAAATTTTGTTTTTTTTAAAAAAAATTTAAAATTTATTAATGTTTTTTAATCAATGTATTTATATTAAAAATAATTTAAAAAATATTTTTTTAATATATTTTTAAAAAAATATATTTTAAACCATAATTATTATTGTATTTTTAAACATGGTATGATTTTAGGATCAAATTTAACTATTTTATTTTCACTACTCCATACTTGCATATGCTTCATTAACTCCCAATCATAAATTGGTTGCTCTTTTAACTAAGAAGAGCAAAATTAAAAATAAAAAAAGAATGCATTACATAGGTCTTAATGACAAGTTACTCATGTTGTTTAAAAACATCACTAATTATTAATTCAAACATAGGTAATTTCAAATTCTGAAGGGGATAACTTAAATAATTAGGTTTCACGTTTGTATTTTACAGGTTACCGATTTGAGTCCTACAAATATCAGAGCTATTAGAGGCTTGTATAATTATTAATATCAGAATCTATGAAATTAATCGAGATATACATAAATTGATTCGAGCATGAACATTAATTAAAAAAACATAAATCATCACAAATTAGCCCATGTAAATGCTATTCAAAGCTTAGGAAATAAACCACTCTCAAATACTGCAATGACCTTCTAGGAAAGCCACAAAAAGGATCTATGAATTTTAGATTAAAAATAAAGATTTTTTTATTCCATAGATTAATCAAGACTCGATATTTTATACTCATAGGGTTTTCACTAAGAGATATTTATTAACAATATAAACAAGTGTAACATGAATTATTTTTATAACTAAGATCTACGAGTTTTGATTTTGTATCTTTAACTGGTTTTCTTTATTTTGACTACTCCTTTCATTTTTTGTTTTAAATCTCTATAATTTTTTTTTATTTAAAGTTAATAGCTCAGAAGAGTAAATGGTGATGTATTTAGAAAAACTATAAAATGCCAATTACGTATACTAAGTGATATCACATGTACTATATAAATAGTATAAATGTTATTCACATATTGGGACGTGCTAAACATGTCCCAACAGTTTTAAACATTAAAAAATTCAAAAATATCAAAATGTTTCCTATGATTCTGATAATTACACAAATATGCACATGAAAGTGCAAAAATATCACCACATATTAAATTTAAATTTAAATTTAAATTTTATCTTTTTCAAAATTAAAGAATATAATTGCACTATATATTAAAATTCAACCCCAAAACACCATCCAGCAGTATAATCTTTTGACTCTAGTGGCAAATATATATTTTTACTGCTAAGAAGCTTCTGGAAGTAAAGAAAATCTTAGCTAACAAGTCTATATTTTATTGATTTTGAAGATAAAAAAGTTTTTTGATTATGTAAAAAATTATTATCCACACCTCCACTGAAGAGGCTTAATTTTTTGGGCTCTAGTTTGGAGTCAAAAGCGTTATGCTAAAAAAAATTTGCATTTCAAAATATTTTTTAAAATAATACTTTTTTAACCCACAATAAAATATAAAAAGATAAACATAAAAAAACCACATCATTTAACTTTATACTTAATAATGGGGTCCAATTAAGATATGAAACACGGTGATGCTTGTCAGTCTTCCTTTTTGTTTATTTTCCTTGATAAATTACTTGGCAACTAGCACAAACATTAA